AGAACCAGAGAAAGGACTGGTGGCATTTAATTTGTCACAGTTGGAGATCATCACTTCGTTAACATCTCTGTACCAGACGATGAGTTAACCAGCTGATGCTTGTTTCTGTCCCCAGATCGACATGGAGTCGTCCCTGAGGCAGATCCGGAACAGCGCGTCCAAGAAGCGAGCGCAGAAGCTGGTGAACAGCCTGTCGGAGACGAGTCTTTACTCCTCGCTGTCGGCCGCCTCGTCTCGATCGCCCTCCCCTCCCTCCTCTTCCCTTGACGACAGCGGGCTCTTCTCTCCAATGTCCACCCTCCCTCTGGACGACGAGGCCAGCTCCACTCCAAAGACGACTCCCAAGAGAAAAGGGTGAGTCTCTCTGTCTGTTATCATCTGTTATCATCTGTTATCGTCTGTAATCATCTGTTGTCGTCTGTTATAGTCTGTTATCATCTGTTATCGTCTGTTATCATCTGTTGTCGTCTGTTATAGTCTGTTATCATCTGTTATCATCTGTTATCATCTATTATCATCTGTTATCGTCTGTTATCATCTGTTGTCGTCTGTTATCATCTGTTATCGTCTGTTATCATCTTTTATCGTCTGTTATCATCTGTTATCATCTGTTTATCGTCTGTTATCATCTGTTATCATCTGTTATCATCTATTATCATATGTTATCGTCTGTTATCGTCTGTTGTCGTCTGTTATCATCTGTTATCGTCTGTTATTGTCTGTTATTATCTGTTATTGTCTGTTATCATCTTTTATCGTCTGTTATCATCTGTTATTGTCTGTTATCATCTTTTATCGTCTGTTATCGTCTGTTATCATCTGTTATCGTCTGTTATCATCTGTTATCTGTTACCGTCTGTTATCGTCTGTTATCATCTGTTTATCGTCTATCATCTGTTATCGTCTGTTATCGTCTTTTATCGTCTGTTATCATCTATTATCATCTGTAATCATCTGTTATCGTCTGTTGTCGTCTGTTATCATCTGTTATCGTCTGTTATCATCTGTTATCGTCTGTTATCATCTGTTATCGTCTGTTATCATCTGTTTATCGTCTGTTATCATCTGTTATCGTCTTATCATCTGTTACCGTCTGTTATCGTCTGTTATCATCTGTTTATCGTCTATCATCTGTTATCGTCTGTTATCGTCTTTTATCGTCTGTTATCATCTGTTATCATCTGTTATCATCTGTTATCGTCTGTTATCATCTTTTATCGTCTGTTATCATCTGTTAACGTCTGTTATCATCTGTTATCGTCTGTTATCATCTGTTATCGTCTGTTGTTCCCTGTAACTGAGGGTTAGACGTGCTTGCTGATGGTAGCTCGCCATTTGCGGTTGTCCTGCGGTTCTTGGGCACAGCAAATCTGTGAGGATCTGTGCAATAATCTGCTTTTGTGTAAGACTATCTCTTCTCGGCTGGACTTGTATGTACTTCATTAGTGTAGACTTTCAATCCAGGCTTATAGTCTGTTCATCGGTTCAATTTGTGATGAAACTATTTTTGCTGTAATCCGAAGCTGAGTCTCCGTTTTGGCCGAACATCACATACTGTCGCTAATGCCTTGAGGAAAATGCTTCAGAAGTGTTATCTTATATAAGTGTTAGAGCCTTATAAAGATATTATATAGTACAGTTTTTATCTCGTATTTAAGATCATTTTATTGTTGTAATGTATAAGTATAATGTCAAAATCGACTTAGCTGCATGTGTGACAGCTGTGAACTGTTTGAAGTGTATTTTT